TCCTAGTAACAAATAGAAATAATTGCAAGAAATAATTGCTATCGTAACTAAGCTCCATATCATTTTTTTCTGATTTTCTTTTAGTAGTCGGCCATGATTTTATGACGAATCGAATTTTAAACAAATCAAGGATATAATTCTTTAATATAATTGATTCTAATCTTAAGCAATTAATTAATTAAAAAAAAGGCAACAAAGTGATCAACTGATTAATCAATAATTATTTTAAACTCCTCTCTTCTTCAATATTCTCAAAATGACCGCTTTCGTGTTTCAAACACAATTCAATTCTTTTTCTTAACTGTTCTGTTGTAGAGTTTTGTATCACTTGTGATTGAATGGCTTGTGGTGCATTTCTTACTCTCAAGACCGTACCTTTTCCTGTTGTGGGAGGCCCGGCATAAACTGTGTCTTTTGTACAGTCTGTTTCAAATTAAGTCGGCACTATTGCTAACTTTCTTAGTTGTAGAGATATAAAGACGATAAAATTACTAAAGTTGTGCATTTTTTCTACTGAATACCTATTAAAAAGCAAAACAATATCGCATTTTTCAGGTAATAACAATATTGTGACTTTTTTTATATGGAACACCCTGTATATTTTTACATCATATGACAGCCTATTAGATTCTCTACAAAAGTTCTTAAAGTACTGAATAATATTTTCAATTATTTTCATTTTGATCTAGTTATCCATAAAAATGATAAAAGAGCGTTGTTTTTTGCAGAACATGTTTATCCTGCGGTATTGATATATACGTCCCTTAAGTCGTGGAAAATATGTACAAACACAAAACAGTTTATTTTAACACGAACTTCTTGCTGTTACACCTAGAGAGAATTTAGAAAATTATTGAACGCAAAACTCTAGAGTTTGCGCTCACGATTTAAGGGACCCATATATCAATACTGGAGGATAAATTGAGGAGCAATGAATTAACTAATGTGATTAAACAACGTCATTTTATTATTTTTATGGATAACTAGATCAAAATGTAAATAATTGAAAAATGTCAGTTATTTGAAGTATTTTTGCTATAGGGTATTAAGAACTTTTGTAGAGAATTTAATAAGCTCACATATAACATAATAATATACAGGGTGTTTCATTTAAAAAAGTCGCATTTTTGTTAAAAACGTGCGTTTGTTTTGTTTTTTTAATTACAGATTTGGATTCAGTACACAAAATACACAATTTTGATAATTTAACCGCCTTTTTAACTCTAAAACTAAGAAAGTTAGCAATCGTGCCGAATGTGAAACAGACTGTGTAGTGTTGTATCCCCACATAAAGAAATCTAATGAGGAAAGGTCCGGAGAATTAGCGGAACGGGCAAATATGTGGCGCGCGGACACACAAAATCTTTTATTTTTCAACGCACAAAACACATTAAAACTTCAGCTCTCTAGTGTACTTCTCGATTCAAAAAGGATTTTAATCTGAGTTATGGCGATTTAACATGCCGTTTTTACAAATAGTTACTTTTTCACAGAGCGAACGATTATGTTTTTCAGTTACTCGAAATACAAAATTCCATACTGTCCCCCCATTTTTTAAATTTGACGTTTTTTTCCCATAATCGGTTGCGCTTTGTTTGCGCACGTTTACGCCCCGAATACTTTCATTATGTGTCCGCGGCAGAGTTGGACTGGGTCACTGGGTCACTGGGTCAACTGGGTCACCTGGGTCACTAAATTAAACTGGGTCGCTGGGTCACGTCATACTCTTTTCAGTTAGACCCAGTGACCCAGTTGACCCGGTGACCCAGTTTGACACAGTGACCCAACTTGACCCAGTTTGACCCAGTGACTCAGTTTGACCCAGCGACGCAATTTCACCCGGGGACCCAATTCGACCCAGTCACCTAGTTTGATTGAATAACGCAGTTAAGTCAGTGCCCTCGGTTCAAGTGTACAGATTATGCAATAAATGAAATGCTGGTTTGTTGAAAATAATAGGTACTCGATTGCTTGACAACTGCCATTTCTGTGATGTTTGCTTTAATACTGCCGTAAAAAACTTTCCATGTCCCGAATTGTATTAGAATAATGTTATTTCTTTGCTTTAGGGCTTACCAGTTTGCTTACAGGTGTTCATTCACATTTAATTTTTTTCTACTAGTAGCTTAATCCAAATAAATCTTTTCTCTAAATACTTTCATTGACTACTTGACTACAAACTATAAACAAATGCATTTGATTTTTTTAGGTATTAGTTCTCTTGAATGAAATTGGGCTACGTGCTTGTTGCCGAATATTATTGAGGAAGTTTTTTTTAAATTAAAAGTTATTTGAAATTGTTTTGGATGATAACTAACAATAATTTAATTACTGGGCTACCGGGTCAGGACGGGTCACTGAGTAAAGCTGGGTCAGGATGGGTCACTGGGTCAAGCTGGGTCACCGGGTCAAGCTGGGTCACCGGGTCAAACTGGGTCAAGCTGGGTCACCGGATCAAGCTGGGTCACTGGGTCAAACTGGGTCACCGGGTCAAGCTGGGTCACTGGGTCAAACTGGGTCACCGGGTCAAGCTGGGTCACCGGGTCAAACTGGGTCACCGGGTCAACTGGGTCACCGGGTCACTGGGTCACCGGGTCACTGGGTCAGTAAACTAACTGGGTCACCGGGTCACTGGGTCACTCTATGCTTGACCCAGTCCAACTCTGGTCCGCGGCGTTTTTCAGCTATTCCAAATACTCAATTCTATACTGCCCTCCCCCCTCCCATTTGACTTTCTCCATAACTGCTAATCTTCTACATACACGGTGTCCATTTTTCGAGTGCCACTATGGGAATCTCGCTTACCTTAAGGAATAGAAAGTTGGTTAAATGGGGGCAAAGTTGCGAATTTCCGTGCTGAATAACAATCTGAAAAGAAATTTAAGCTACCATCAATAGTTTTGAAAATATCGCAAAAATACGAAACCTTCTGATTTTCCTTTTTAATTTTTTCATGGTAAACTAATCCTACTAGATATTTTTAATTAACACATTATTCAGGCCCTTTTTAATGGAGATTTCGAATATGACATCCCGTTTTTAATAACTTTTAAGGTGATGGAGAAACACGTAGCAACTTTAGTTTTTCTTATGGGAGCCATTTTGACATTTTGAGATTGCGTCTTTTTTTCTTTATAACGATAAATCACACATGGTGGTTCAGTATCACATTTTTCCTAAAAATACAATTTTTTGTTTTTTGGGAAGAGTGCTTTGGAAAAACAAAACGTTCATTTATTGTGAACAAAGGTTTGGCAGTTTGATGCATTTGTCTGGTTGCAGTGCTGACAGGGAACTAGTTGTGTTGAGAAAATTCGATTTTCATGTGAACAGAATTGAACCATCGTTTTGCAAGACAATTATAATTCAAATTAGAACAAAATACATAAAGATAAATACTATTTGCGCAATAAAACTAGCACAAACGTTAATGACACTACTTGAAATCA